CACTTGGTTAGCCTGCCTTTGGAAAATAACCACCAAATAATAATGACCCTCATCTAATGTGAACGGTTTGTTAAGATCTTAACTATCACACTTGATGCTATTTTTTTTAAAAAAAGAGAGGGGGGGGAACCCTGAGTGAATGGGGGAGAAATCTCCACTTTGTTCCTTAGTCTGAAAGTTGCTTTGGCTTGTGCCAATTAGATGGATATATGCATCCAAAAAGGTCACAGCTTCAAGTGCTTCTTTAGATAATTGAGTCACATGGTATCTATAACTATAATGCAATGGACTGAGTCACTCATTATAAACAGCAGAGTTATTAGGGTGTCCTTGTTTTTCTCAACACTTTTGCTGTGCTTTAGAAGCTTAGAGGAGAAGGCTGACAGCTGAAAAGAGATTGAAGGTGAACAGATGACTCCAATTGTTTCTAGCCAGGAATAGGAAAACTGCAGACTTAGGCCTAACTGATGCTCCTTGCAACCCCTAGCGTCATTTAAAAAAAAAAAAAAAACCTTCTGCAAGCATTCAATTTAGACTTCTTGAGGGAGTAATTAACTCTTTTGTGTAGTCCCTGGGAAAAGCGGTGGGGAGATTGAGGCAGAGAAAATATACAGAGTGGAATTCTTGGCACAGAATTTGAATCCTGTAGAATAACATCTAGCTAGATGTGTCAATGACTCTCGAGCTGTTCCCTAATTAATTTTGCTCTGATTGATGAATTGAGCAACAAAAGTTTGGTCCAGGTGCCATGATTCAATCATTAGATACTATTGGCCTGAATAATTGAGTCTTTGTTGACATGTTGCAAAGCATTTTGGGGAAAAAGCCCTGAAGTTGGTGTGGCACCTTTTGGTATATTCCAACAACTTTCTAACTCTCTGCCTAACTAATTTTGCTCTGACTGATGAACTTGCTTGTATGAGCAACCAAATGTCTCAGATTAACAAAATTTGGTCCAGTTGCCATGATTCATCCTTTAAACCTCTAGCTACTCACACCCAAAGATCAGTTTCACCAACCTGTATCTATTGGAAACCAAATGAGTTAAATTCAATGTAGAGAAAAGTAAAGTCTTATACTTAGGCAAGAAAAATCAAAAGTAAATGTACAGATTAGGTGAAATCTGGCTTAATAGCAGTAACTATGAGAAGGATCTTGGAGTCCTAGTGGACAATCAATTAAACAGGAGCCCACAGTGTATGGCAGTAACCAAAAAGTTAACAGAGGGATTGAATCAAGATTATGTGAGGTACTAGTACTGTTCTATAAAGCCTTAGTAAGGCCACACCTAGAATGTTGCATCCAGTTTTGGTCACCACACTATAAAAATAAGATGTTGAGACTCTAGAAAAAGTGCAGAGAAGAGCAACAAAGATGATTAGAGGCCTGGAGGCTAAAACATATGAAGAATGGCTGCAATAACTGGTCATGGCTAGTCCAGCAAAGAGAAGGATCAGGAAAGCATGATAACAGTATTCCAATTTTGAGGGGCTGTCACAGAGAGGAGGGGGACAATCTATTGAAGGCCAGACAAGGAACAATGGATGGAAATTGATCAAGGAGAGATTCAACCTAGAAATAAGGAGAATTTTTCTGACAGTGAGAACAATGGAACACTTGCCTTCAGAAGTTGTGGGTGCTTCATTACTGGAGGCTTTCAAGAAGAGACTGGAGAGCCACTTTTCACAAATTGTATAGGGTCTCCTGCTTTAACAGGGGATAGGACTAGATGACCTACAAAGTCCCTTCTAACTCTGTATTCTTTTAGCAGGGTGCTGTATTTATTTGTTGCCTATAGGTGTGCTAATGTAAAGCAATTGACAAAAGCTTTATGATGTGGAAAGAGCAATCAAAGGAAGCAATATGAAGTTTTCCCAAGGAAGTCACTGTTTGCTCTCCATTGTTTTGGCTTCCTCCACACTAATACTAAGATCCAGATGTTAAGTATTCTTCTCTACCTAAAAGCAATTAAATGCATTTCCCTCACCCAATGCCTTTTTTTCAAGAAAGGCTAACTCAAAGTGTCATTGAAATATTGCTTAGAGTGTCTACCACCTCCTAGACTTTCATAAGTAATATTGGAGGACAGAGCTTTGTTTATTAAAACCAAAGATAGATGCGTAGAAAAACACATATTGGAGTAGTAATCACAAGTGGCCTTGTGTGTGGTCTCATTTCTTAGCTTGGGAAACAATTTGATAACATAGTAGGATAAAAAAAACACAGAAATCTTTATCTATTGCAGCATAAGCAAGTCAATGAAAAATGAAACAAGATAGAATTGCTTTGAAAGTGTGTTTATTAGTACGAGTGCATTACTGGTCCTGAAACATTGAATGCACTTCTAAAGGAAAAAATAGAATATTAAATCAGTTAAATAATGTCATATAACCATCTTTTTTTACCTGGTGCCCTCCAGATATATTGGACTACAGTGCCCATCATTTCTAGCATGTGTGCCTCATTATGGCTGGGGAAAATGGGCACCGGACTAACACATTTCGTAGGTGCCAGATTGTGAAAGTCAGTTACATATATAAAATTTAAAACAGTCTAATTTATACACAGATTTGGGGAAAGAGAAAATGAAAGGAATGGCATCAAAGATAAATGAAATGTAAAAGTCCAGACTGTCATAATATGTCTGAAATTAGAATGGGTGCAAATTAAATAGAGTATCCATTCAAAGCAGAAACCAGTGCTGATACTTGCTAAAAAGCAAGCAAATAATTTCTATAGTTTATCTACAAATGAATGGAATTTAAGAGCCTAATATTTTAAATTTTGCAACATTCATGAAACTTCTCAACTAGTTCAACTAGTAAAAATGGTTTAAAATTCACACTCTGTTTCTTTAAGGGTCTAGTTCTAGGATTTCTATTGTCTATTCTAACTTCCTAATATTGATGGTTAAAACCCCTCTGAATCAGATTTGGAATATATCAAATCTATAGTACAGGTAATCCTCGACTTACGACTACAATTGAGCCCAAAAGTTCTGTTGCCAAGCGAGACAGCTGTTTGTGCCCCATTTTGCCCCATTTTACGAGCTTTCTTGCTACAGTTCTTAAGTGAATCACTGCAGATGTTAAATTAGTAACATGATTGGTAAGTGAATCTGGCTTCCCCATTGACTTTGCTTGTCAAAAGGTCGCAAAAGGGGATCACATGACATCGGGACACTGCTACCATCATAAATATGAACCAGTTGCCAAGGGTCTGAATTTTGATCATGTGACCATGGGGATGCTGAAATAGTCGTAAGTGTGAAAAATGTTCATACATTATTTTTTTTCAGTGCTGCTGTAACTTTGAACAGTCTCTAAATGAACTGTTGTAAGTCGAGGACTTCCTGTGTAGAAGAAGATGATGTAAACTTTGTTTCATGCCCCTGAATGGCAGCTTCCAAATGAGCCCAGGGAACGCAGGTGTGCTCCCTTTTCTTCTTTGTTCCATAGTTTCTCCATAGCTGTGTTGGGTCTATGGAACAAATCAGGGGTGAAATTCACTTACCTTTCCCTAATGGCTCGCAAATGTGAGCATGCGTGCCTCCTGCATGCATGCGCAGAGGGTAAAAAATGGGACATGATGACATCCGGATAGGTGGGTGGAGCCTCCTGCCGCCAGTGCTACCGGATCGCACGATCCGGATAGATCCAGCTGAATTTCATCACTGGAACAAACCCTATTGTCTATGGAGTTTCTCAGTCATCCAGGTCATGGTTGTCCCAAAGGTGCTTTTTTCAAGAGGGAACTGGACTTTTTGGTTTGTCTTTGAAGACATTTTACTTCTCATCCAAGAAGCTTCTTCAGCTCTGAAGAATCTTCTCGGATGAGAAGCAAAACGTCTTCAAAGAAAAATCAAAAAAGTCCAGTTCCCTCTTGAAAAAAAGCACCTTTGGGATAACAAATCCTATTGTGTTGCATGACCATTTCAGTATTCCTTTTGGTTGCCTTTCTCTTTCCCTAATGTTGCAAACAATTGCCTCCAAAGCAAACTGGTGAAGCCAGCATGAGCGTTTCTCCTCAGAAACATCTGGGAAATGAGGTGAAACAGAAATAATCGATTGTTTAGAATAGCAGGAATGAATTCAGGACAAATGGGTTCATTACAATTACTATTGGTCCTCACAAGAAGTATGAATTCACAACTGCTTCTGATCAACACTGAAGCAGCTACTTAGAAACTGGAGGTGCTGAAGCATCTCAACACACATTTGGAGAGAGTTGTCCTTTAGATTCCATGTAGAGCAGAACCCTCAAGTAAATATGGAGATCTCTACATACACACATCCTTCCAAAAAAAACTTAAGGATTGACTTCCCCAACTTGCAGAATTGTGGGTACAGCTTTGATAATTCCCAGACAGTAGGAAAGTCTCATCTTTGTAATTTTAAGACTTTTTTTTCTCTAGACATAGAACAATAGCCTCGTATTTATAGTGGCTTTAATTCTGGGGGTCGTTCTAGCATTATGAAATACCGATTATTATGTCAATGGCATGAGTAACATGGAAAGGGACTGTGCCTTCTTGACCTGCTACTGGGATTGAGCAGTGGGAAATAGGATCAGAGGTGTCTTCTTAGTAGCATAAGGTCTTTCTTTATGAAACAAGCCACAGCTTTCTTGCCCATCTTGCAAACTTCAAATCAGAGGTGGGTTTCAGCAGGTTCTGACCAGTTCTGGAGAACCGGTAGCAAAAATTTTGAGTAGTTCGGAGAACCGGTAAATACCACCTCTGACTGGCCCCACCCCCATCTATTCTCTGCCTCCTGAGTCCCAGCTCATCAGGAGGAAATGGGGATTTTGCAGTAACTTTCCCCTGGAGTGGGGAGGGAATGGAGATTTTATAGTATCCTTCCTCTGCCACACCCACCAAGCCATGCCCACCAAGCCACACCCACAGAACCGGTAATAAAAAAATTTGAAACCCACCACTGCTTCAAATGGCAACTGCACAAAATACAGCACAAAGAAAGGAAAGCAAGACAGAACAATACCTGTAATTGCAAGAGTGTATTCCCACAGCACAGTGCTTGCCAGAGAAAGAACCAGGTTAAGCATCTGATTGGAAAACAATTCAAGCTGCTGACAAAATAATGTGATTTCTGCTTGCCGTTCTGCTTGCCGTTCTCTCTTCCTCATTGCTAATCTGGAATCTCAAAAGGCCACTGGATGGGTTTTTTTTTTTCCTTGAGGAAGAAGAACAAAACATTTTGCTTCTCATCCAAGAAGCTTCATCAATTGTGATAGAAGGGGAGGGGGGAATATACAGTAGTGGCCAAAATTGTGGAAACCTTTTGGGAAAAGTGTATTTTTGAGGTTTGATGGCTAATAACTCCACTTTTTTTTTGGAGTTTCAAGATAATCATATTCCACTACTGGAATGGCCAGGGAATAGCCCAGACCTTAACCCAATTGAAAATCTATGGAGCCGACTAAAGAAACTTGTTAGTCAGAAGCGACCCAGCAATAAAACCCAGTTAATAGAAGCAATCCTTCAATCTTGGTTTCACATTATAACAGCTGCAGAACTAAATGTCATGTAAAATGTCTAACTCACTCGTATCCCAATTCCTCACAGCCCTGCAAAGGTTAACGCAACCACATATCCCATTACTCCCACAATTCCACCTTACCTCTAACTCCTCCCCTTGGGGTATAAGAGGTCACACCACGAGGCCATCCAGCAGTTCCAGATGTGTACCTGTAAGAGAAGGATAAAGGTCAGTTGCTATCAACTGAATAGGCCTAAGATTAGTTCAGGCCTACAATAAAAGAATCAATAGAGGATATCATTTTGTCTTGTGAGTTATTGGGTTAGATCCATCAACCTAACACTAAAAGACTTGGTTCACCCCAAGACATTGTAAGGCCGTAATTCATGCTAAAGGTTACTCAACTATTAACTGACATGGTGATAATTTTTGTATATCTTGTTTTTTCTATGGTGATAATTTTTGTATATCTCATTTTTTCTACATGTTTCACTTTTCTTCTTTATACTGTAACTGCTATTCTAATAGCAAATCCTTCATAAAAATTATTGCATAATGTCCTTGATTAAATTATCTTTCCATTGATATATAATTTTATGGTACTACTCCCCCAAAAAACTGGTGTTATTAGCTAGTTTTAGAAAAAACACTTTTCCCAAAAGGTTTCCACAATTTTGGCCACTACTGTACATGTACACTATAAACCCAAGAATACACTAAGACAGAAGCTTGTCCACCCCAAGAATAAAACACCAAGACACAAACTGAGCAATGTGATATATGCAATGCAGTGAGACATGTGCAGATCTCTACATTGGTGAAACAAAACAACCTCTTCACAAGCGCAGGGCACAACATGGGAGATCAAAGCCATCAGTGGTCCATCTGCATTTGAAAGACAAAGGCCACTCTTTTGAAGACAGCTACGTTCACATTTTGGATAGAGAGGATCATTGGTTTGAAAGAGCAATTAAAAAGACCATATATGTTAATATTAAGCAGCGTTCTCCCGACAAAGGAGACATCACCTATCTCCAGTCTACAAGTCCTTGCAACAGTTTGAAGAAGATTCCACAACCAACTATACTCTGATTCAGGTGACCTTGAGGTCAAAGACAATCCCCCCAAGTGGCCTCAAGAGATCTCAGAGAGAGAGAGAAACCTAATGATCAGATGACTGCAAAGAGATCCAATCCTTCCATCCCCCCACCAAATACCATCTGGTCAGAACCTATCCTTCCATCCCTCCCACCATCACAACTGATGAAGCTTCTTGGATGAGAAATGAAACAAATTATTCTTCTTCCTCAAGGGGGGAAAAAACCCAACCAGTTGCCTTTTGAAAAAGCACCTTTTTGAGACAACTATGACCTGGATGAATCTCCACAGACATTTGCTAATCTGGAAATGAATGAAGCAGGAGGCTGTTCTCCTAGCATTGTTCATCCAGTTGCTAAGATGAATGTGACAACACTGAGGGGACAAAAACCAAACCATCCCAATCATTGTTGACTGCTGCTTATCATTTTGGCTTGAAGAATATTATGGAGCGGTTGGAAAAGGATTATAGAGAAATAGTAATAAAATAACAGAACCAATAGAGAATAGAGAAAACCGGAAGCTCCAGTTGTATGCAGATTGGTGCCTTAAAGGGAGGTTAAAAGGAGGAGGATAGAAGTTGATTGCCAACAGGAGGAGGTGCTCCTTTCTCTTACCTTGATATGACTTTCCCATCAAATTATCCCATAATATGTCAGAGTTGGCCCTAAAGGCTTTCCTTATGATGATAAGAAATTATGGCCCGAAGGTGTATGTATTGATTGCAATTAGTCTCCAACTTGGTGAATTCTTCCCATGGTGCCAGGGAATTTATCATCCAACATATCGAGAAGGCGCCCAGTTGAGTGACCTGTGGAATAACTATAATTTGCTTTTAGCTTCAAGTTTCTATGGAGGAGCAACTGTGGGCCAACTTTGTGGGATGATCACTTACCATTGCGTGAATGATGAAAATGTAAGTTGCCTTAGACACTCATCCACCGGCAACCCACATTGACTAAACAGTGAAAAATATGAACATATTCCATTTTTATGAAGCTGCTATTGTAAAGGTCTCCAAGTGGTCATGCTCAGAATTTTCATTGTGGGGCATTTATGCAGGGGTGGGATTCAGCCGGTTCGGACCAGTTCAGGTGAACCGGATGCTAGTTTTACATCTGGTTCGCGGAATCTGTAGTTGCAAGGACGGGCTGGCCCCCCCCGCCCACCCACCCCTCCCCTCCCAGGAGTCTCCACACAGCCCATTTTGGATGCCAGGTAATGCAGGGCCTGCGCAGAGGCTCTGGAAAGGTGAAAACAGGCCTCCCGAAAGTTCCAGAAATCCGGAAATGGGCTGTTTCCGGCCTCCAGAGGGCCTCTGGAGCCAGGGGAAGCTATTTTTGCCCTCCCAGAGACTCGAAGAAGGCCCCTGGAGCCTGGGGAGGCCAAAAAACGGGCTTCCTGGAAGTTCCGGAAGTCTGGAGGGCCTCCAGAGCCAGGGGGAGGGCAAAAACACCCCACCCACCCCAGCCATGGTGCAGGAGGCCAAGTAGGCCATGCCCACCAAGGCCACGCCCATTCAGCAACCAGGCAGAGAACTGGTTGCTAAAATTTTTGAATCCCATCCCTGCATTTATGGCAAAGGTGGGGGACTATGGCCCCTTTATAATTTGTGGACTTCAACTCCCAGAATTCCCGAGCCAGCATTCTGAGGCTGGCTAGGAATTCTGGAAGTTGAAGTCCACAATTCATAAAAGGACCATTATTATTTTAATAATAATAAAATTATTTTACATTTTATATTGTATGTATTTTAATTTTGGCTGTTCACCGCCCTGAGTCCTTCGGGAGAAGGGCGGTATACAAATTTAAATAATAAATAAATAAATAAATAAATAAATAAATAAATAAATAAATAAATAAATTTCCCCACCCCTGAGTTTTGACAAACCAGGAATTTAAATTCCTCTATCCCTCCCTTAAACAATGAAGGATGGCAGTTCTTTCTGCCATTCTAATGTCTGAGCGAGTCATTTGATTATTTCATAACCCTCATTTTCCCTCGTTGATGAGATCTGTGCAGCATTATGGATTTGTGAGCCTTCCACAGGCTGCCCTCTGCAGCTGCCACACAGGAAAAGATGGGCTTGGTTCGAGAGTTGCCAATAAGGCTTTGTGCACACTTCCACGGACTCCAAAGCACCTTTTCCCTTTTGAATCTGAGGTGCTGCCCTGCCCTATGATTTACAGCCTGCTGTTCCCTTTAAAAATGAGGTTATGCAAGAGGAAAAATAAGACCAAAAAAAATATTCATTCGCTCCCTTGTGCTGCGTTGCTGCCAGCTGGTCTATTTTTCACATTTGAAGAAGGAGGTTGTGAGCTGCAAAAGCCTACACTATCATTAAGCCGGTTGGAAAGTACAGAATGCTATATTCCCCTGAAATACACTGCACAGAGTTGCTCTGATTTCACTTTTTTTTAAAAAAAGAAAAAGTACAAGCTTGATTCGATCAAGTCTTTTCAAAATTGTTGAGCTTTGTTAAACTCAATGACATTTCCAACTAATAATCATGTGAAGCTCAGCCTCCCACTCACCCGTGATATTTTGATGCCTGTTCTTCTATCTCTGTCATTATCTACTCTTTGCACATCTTCTGCTCCATGAGGTGGTGATGCCCATTTCTTCTGTCTCTCCTTTATGCAGCAAACTCCAGCCATGAACAGTTCTAGCTTAGTTGTTAATTAGTTAATTAGTTGTTAATTGTTACCAACCTGCCTTCCACTGAGGATCTGCATGAGTCAAAAAGAGGGCTGTGAAAATATCTACAGACCCCTCACATCTTGGACATAAATTGTTTCAACTTCTACCCTCAAACAACGCTATAGAGCACTGCATATCAGAACAACTAGATACAAGGACAGTTTTTCCTGAATGCCATCACTCTGCTTAACAACTAATTCCCACTGTCAAATAATTTACTAAGACTATATTACTATTATTCACTTCCTTACTAGTATCTATCTCTTCCCACTTATTCCTATAACTATGTGCTTGTATTTTTCAATTTATATTGTTTTTACCTGTTTCCTAGTACGATTTGATAGCTTATTAGTAACCTTGACTATCTCTAAGTGTTGTATCTTTTTATTCTTGATGAATGTATTTTATTCTCCTTATGTACATTGAAAGCATATACACCAAGGACAAATTCCTTGTGTGTCCAATCACACTTGGCCAAAAAAGAATTCTATATATTCTATATTGGACTTCAGCTCAGGAAACAAAAGTCCAAATAACCATTTAACTACAGAGTTTGCTTTGGGCCGGTCACCTTCTCTTCGGCCAACTTACTTTACAAGGTTATTTCTGTGGAGAAAAAATTATGGGGAGAAGAGACCTCCCCCATAGGTACCCAGTTGGGAAATATTGATATAAACTCCATGGAAATAGGGGGGGGGATTCTTTCTTTCTCCTGGGCCATCTGATTTGCATCCTAAGATAGGAAATCAGGAAAAACAGCAGGCTTGTCTCAGCACTGGATTAATAGCCATTAAAACCTGAGCAATAAAGGACATGCTGGAAAATCATCTGGGGAGGCAAGATAAAGCCTCTCTCTCAGAGCAGCCCCTGATAGTGCATCCCTAT